ATTTAATTCAGATAATGAACATGAGGATAGTAATTGTTTTGATAATTCAGAAACACGAAAGAATGAAGTTAATTCAATTGATAAGCATTTATAAAGAATAGCATATAGATCGCATATGTGAAATAAAATATATAAATGTGCCTTTTTTATTGCTTTTTATAATGATTTTAATAAATACAAAAGGTTTTTTTTTTATGATATACATTTCTTTACACTGTCAAGCTATCTTATAAATTTAACCTATATATAGTTATAAAAAAAGTTTATTATAAAAAGAAGTTCAAGCATATATGTAAAATTATATCAAAAATTTTAGAATAGTCTAGAACTTTCTGATCGACATTTCTATACCATAAAAGGAATGATCGACATCATCCATTTTTGGTAAAATCCCTGACTGCAATAAATAAAAGAATGACGTTACACAGTTGTAATTCAAAAATGTGGCAGTTTGTTTGCGAGATAATAAATGTGTTTCTCTTTGTAAAATAAAAAATTTTCTTATTTTAGATATGAAACGAAATGTGGAGTGAACAAAACACCTTATCTATAAGACTAACCTTTTAAACCCACATCTAACCATAATAAAGTGTACTCTCCATATAAAGTTAATAAATTCGGCGATTATTCCATAATCCTTTTCTGATACTAATCACACCATGAATAAATTACCTTTGGTAAACAAGTAAACAAAAGACATTTTAATGTTACCCAAAATTCGATAGATTAATAAATTATTTTACCTTTCACTATGTCTACTTATCCTGGTGAATCCAATGAAACGAACAAACCGTATGAAGGTAACAAATATGATCATAAAGTGTTACCGAATATAAATATAAGGTTCAATATTTATTCTCTCTTGTTCATAGATGCGGCAGTAAATGAGCAACGAAGAATAGCAGCATCTATAGGTCCTTGTCCAAAAGGAGGGGATCACGAATTAAGGCTACATTAGTAAGTATTCTCTTTTTTTTCATTTGGTTTAAAAAATTATTATAATTAAAGTTTCTTGTATTTCGATTAGCACAAATGGCACATTATTTTGGGCATTTTGTTTAGGTTTACCAAGATTTTGCGGATATGCAAAGAGAAAAACTGTTTGCACAAAATGTAATAGGGAATTTAAAGGGTTGTCAATTCCTGAAGCTGGAACAATGTAACAACATAACTGACAGAACATTTTAATTTAAATATTTATCTAATTTCAATTACGTTCGCGGGTTAAAGTTAAGGGTTAATTATGAATTAAAATTTTTTTCATATATTATATTATTCGTATCAGTTAAAAAATAAAAATATTTTATTTCTAAATTTCTTCAAGATCTTCTTCGGGATAATCTCCAGCTTTAATTTTATTTGGTCTAATAAACGCTCCATATTTTGGAGTGCATTCAAAATAACGTTCCCCTTGAACACTAAATCAAATAATAAAGTTTGAGCATTCAAAAAAAAAACATTTAAAATCAAATTGATAAAGGTCTTTATAATACATACGTTCCATCATGTTTTCCAACTGGCTCATCATATTGAACACCAACCCAATAACCTGGCTTAAATTTAGTTTCGCCTGCGGTAAAGAAGTCAAAATTTTGATTTAAATATGGTGATCATAATTCAATAAAACCGGAAAATTGAGAGACCTACCAACATATTTAACAATTCCGCGTCTTTTAAGTCCCTCTTCATTTCCTTCACCAAAATCAACTTCACAACGATCGCCTACTTTAATATTCTTTGCTTCCTCTTCAAATGTATAATCTGTAGTTGAAGATTTGGAATCGCCAAATCGCCCCAACTTATTACGTTGTTTAAACGCAAGTACCGAATCTATCTTTTTTATATAAAATTAATGTTATTTATTTTCGATTAAAAGCAAAAAAAATGGCCTCGTAAATAATTTTACCCGATCTTTTAGCATATTCATCATCAGGTAATTCATATTTTTCCACAAGTGATAAATCTGTAAATTGATTTCGATTGTTACTAGGATTTGCATCAATGACCTAATTGAATAAATTGGTTAATTAACGATGGAAAAAAAAGGTACAAAGGAATTAAATTAAAATGATTTACTTTGAGTGTCATAAAATTGTCCACCGGAAAAGCGCCTAGCATATAATCATCCCCTTCAACAGAGGTAACTAAAGTATCACCATTAAATAGTTGTAAAACTTGTGAATCGGCAGAAATGCCTGTAATAGGCTCAAGTTTAATCTGTAAAAGATAAATTTTAAAATATTATACTTTTAATAAAGGAAACAAATTTTAAAAGAGAATGAATATTACTCTAAGTTGTCTTATGGTAAGGCCTTTATCAAAGCGTCTTTCAGAAGACGCATTGTCACTTTGTACAAAGACTGTTACAACCGACATAATTTTAATTAATATAAAGAAATCAAACGTCGAAATTCAAGTTATATTCATTCGTATTACGTTATACTAAGGCTGTAATCCAATTGGTTAATTTGTTTTATCTCGCTGAAAATATGACTCAATTTATGAATCTTTGATTTTCTTTTTTATGGTTGCTTCAAAATGAAAAATTTGAAATTATTCATTTCCCTTGTTATTATTAACAAAATAATTAATAGTCAGAAACAGCGACATTATGAAGAAAGCTTTTGAAAGTTTATTGCCGTTGTTTATTTTCTCGAATTTTTTAATCGACTTTTCAAGCTCACTAATTAGGAAATCGTTGCATAATTAAATTTGGATGAAACATCATTTGTGTTAAAAATTTAGCCAAACCCTTTATAGAATATGTATGGTTTCTTGGCGGATAAGAAAAACAATGATCAACGAAATACGAAATAATCAAAAGTACTTTGAATCTCGTGATAATTGTGTCGAGAAGTATATGATCGCAATGCAGAAACCTAAAATAGTATTTATTTTAAATATTGCATCAGTTACAATATAACATTAGAATAGGAAGCATTAAATTTTTTCTGTTGCCCCTTATGTACAAATAGGGACTATGAGATTTTGTTACGCTAATCCAATTTTGGTAAAGTAATTTAATCATAACTCTATAAATAGGTTCGCAGAACTTACGTTTTTGAGAATATAGTTCTTGGCATAAAATTATTTTCCCCCTTTTTTTTTTTTATTTATTTATATAATAAATTCACTGTCTTTTTTAACAAGATTCTAAAGCAAACTTATAAAAATCTAGTAAAAATGAGATACATTTACATTATTACCCTTGTAATCCTCGCATCAACGACTTTGGGTTCCGCCCAATTTGACCATTTTGACCTTTCACAAAGTTGTATGGATGAAGCGCAAAAATTAATCGGTTCTGAAGAAATCAACGCTTGCGTTCCAATTTCATCATTTGCTTCATTAATTTCTAATTCTAAATCAGAAAACGAAGAAGCAGCTATGAAAACAATGGCCGACTCAATTTGTGGCCTTCCAAAATGTTCAGATAGTCTCGTAGCATCAACTCAAAAAGATTTCAGAGCTGCGTGTCAACAAGATTTAAAAGCCAAAAATGATCTCGCAAATTCAATTGATGCGGCAATTGCTCTTTATTCTCCTTTAAGAGATTCCATTTGCTTTAAGAATTCTACGGATGGCTATTGTTTCATTGAAAGTTATACGTCTTTGAAACAAATCAATGACAAAGCTCCAAAAAACCAAAGTCCTGTCCTTACTTTTGCTGGTGCATCAAACGAGCAAGTTTGCACTCCTTGTAACAAGGCCATTACTAATACTTTTAATAATTATCAAAAAGTACATCCTGAAGCATTCACAGCAATTCAAGGTTATTCTGATAAAGATGTGGAAACTGCTAAAAATGCTTTAACTGGAAAATGCGGGGAATCATTTCTAGGTAAATATTAATTCACGAAAAACGTGTTTTTTCTTTGCGCAATGATATTTATTAAATCATAATCAAAATTTATCCTTTAGATGGTCAAATTGGTGATACAAAACAAAAACCATCAGAATTTCAACAACAAAGTTCTCCAAACAAATCGGATGCTTCCTCTTTAATTGCCAATGGTTTGAGTTTGGCAACCTTTGTAGGATCATTGATCGCCTTGATTTAAATACATTCAACTTTTTTTTTTAAAAAAACCATATATATAGACTTTTTTTTTCATTTAGACTTATCATGTTCTATTTGATGTAATTTGCTTTGTAAAACCCTATTTAATTAATAAAGATTATTGTTTAAAGTTATCCACGTGATCATAAAGATGATCTTTCCCGCGTTCTCATTGTGACAGTATAAATAGAAGTACTTCCTCTTCATTTCATAAACATCATTTAAATTAACATCAAAAATGAAAGGACAAGATAGAATAAGTTTTTCACTTTTATAAATATTATCATTTATATCTTAATAAGTTTTAATAATTTTTTAAATACGAACGAAAGTACCCTATAAGAATAAAATATTTTATAGAAAATAAATTTTTTAATATTAATTACAAAATAAAATTATTTGTGAAAGACAATCATGGAAAAAACAAGATTAGAAATGATTATTCTTTTAACAATTTTCTCATTCCTTCTCGTTTTTCCTTTCCAACTGACAATGGCACAAACGGTTCCCTCTCAAACCATTTCTCCTCCTGGTGCCACTCCTACTCCTGGTGTTCCTACTGGTACACCTGGTTCCACTAACGGAACCACTAACGACACTCTTTGTAGTTTGAGCGAATATACACCTGTTACCGTTCAATTGCAACAAATAAAAAGTAGTTTTAGGGGAGGAACTGTTACGGTTTTAGGAACTTTATCTATCATCGATGGATGTACTTTTGAAGTTAGCGGGTTTACTTACTCTTTCGCGGCTACTAACACGTAAGGTTTTTCGAAAAAAAAAAATATTTGATCTTATTTTTTATTTGTGATTTACCTTATTTTATTTTATTTATAATTTTTTTTTTTCCTTTCATTATGGATCTCTATCTTTTTTACAGGTATTGGTTTGGCAGCAACTTTACGGATCCTAATGCGGAAGCAATATTAGTTAGTCCAACTCCAGTGGGTCAATTTCAATCGGCACCATCAATAAAGTTTAAGTTGACATCAACCGTAACATTTAATGATTTTAGCGTATTGAACCTTTTTTCAATTGATGAGAAGGCCGTATTTGGTCAGGCTGTGTTGAGACAAAGTCCATCTAATCCTTTTTCTACCGTCGAAAATTCTAAAAATCATTCCAATAGATTATCATTCGATCCTACTATCATAATGACTAAAATTTTTGTTGGTTTCCTGATTTCTTTCATTTGGATAATGTAATTTCTCTTTAAAGTTTACTTTTTAAGATGAAAAATTTAAAACAAAAAAATAGTTATGTGCAAGTTAAAATAAAATCACCTTTTGAAATTTTTTTTTTTTTGTTGATAAATCATGGGATCAAATAAATATAAAGTCACATGATATCAACTCAAATAAAAATTGATTATGGCGCAATATAATTGATGTACTAAACCAAATTCAAAATTTTTTATGGTGGCTTTTTTTTTTTTTCCTGACAAAGCAAATCGTCCCATCACAGTTTAGAAAAATAAAATGGAACAACAAGCACCTCCAGAAGACACAACGCAAACTTCAGAGGAAGTTCTTATATATAAATCAACAACCCAAGAACAAACTGAAGTTAAAACATCAAACCCTAAAGATACTAAAGTTATGCAAACATCAGATGTGGAAAGTAATGAAAGTGGTGGTGATATAATTGCCATTGTTAAACCACCTCCTTCAACTGGGAACGTTCCTCCTGTGCAAGCTGATGAGGAAGATAACATGAATGATATTCCCGGGATCCGAGTTTCTATGGCAACTATAGTTGAACTACCTCCCCTTGAGGAACAACAAAGGCTATCTGATGAGAACATCCCACCTGTTTCAGAAAAAGTCATTGACGAGATCTTTTCTAGTATTATTACTTTACCTGAGGAATTACAGCAAGCTCAGCCATCAGAGGTTCCAAACCAACTCGCGATTGAGCAATCGTCACCACAGGTTACAGAAATAACCGAAACGATCGTAACAAGCGAAACAAGTGAGGAACCACTTGCGGTTAACGTGACGAACGAAACTGGTGTCATAAATGAGATCGATGAGCCCATCGTGGTTGAAACGGTTGAAACTGTTTCAACGAGCGAAACTACCATGACAGCCGAACCGACTGTGATCACGGATAATACGGAGCAACAGCCCGTTGTGATTGTTACCGAAAGTGTCAATGAAACGAGTGATGATGTTCAGAATAATGCTCAAAACATTCATAGTTCTTCTACGGCTCAGGATATGCAAGCTATTCAAGAAGTTCAAATTTCTCAAAGTTCTTCTACGGCTCAAGATATGCAAGCTATTCAAGAAGTTCAAATTTCTCAAAGTTCTTCTACGGCTCAGGATATGCAAGCTATTCATGAAGTTCAAATTTCTCAAAGTTCTCCAATTATCCATGATGTTCAAAGTAATCCGATTGTTCAAGACAACCAAAATGTACAGAATGATCAAAACGTTTCAATAGTTCAGGATGTGCCTCCTGCTGTTCATGAAGTGCAAAGTGCTCAGGACGTTCAAATTGCTCAAAATTCCCTAATTGTCCAAGATGAACAAAGTGTTCAAGTCATTCAAACCACCCAAAATGTTCAAATTCTCCAAAACGAGCAAAACATTCAAAAAGTTCCGGATGTTCAAAGCGTTCCTTTCGTTCAGGATGTGCAAAATGTTCAGAACGATCCTAATGTTCAAAACTCTCAAGTTTTTCAGGGTATGCAGGGTGCGCAACAGCCCATGATTATAGATCAAGATCATCCTGAACAGCAAAAAACAGAACAAGTAACTAACGAGACTGATCAAGTTTCACCTGAAGTAGCAACATCAATGGAAGTTCCACCACAACAATCTTCGATTCAAGTTATATCAGATGCAACAACGGAAATTACCACCGTAGCCCCTACTGGTGATGACGTTCAACAAATGGAAACTTCGTCGGCTGCCGTAAACGTTAATGCATTTGATTATGAAGATGCTATAAAGAAAGCTCACGCTATTGCGGCGAAATTACTTAATAATGAAGGTGTAGCTGTTGTTCAAAATCAGCAGATTATTCCTACTAGTAGTACGTTATAATTTAGTATTTTTATTTCTTTTATGCTTGCTCCATTTTTTTTTAAAAAAATTATTTATAAATTTTATAGATGCACAGCAAGGGGTTAAAAGATTGCACGAAGAAAGTTACAATCCACATAATCCACATAATCCACATGTATCCACTAAAGATAATCGAGATGATTATCGAGATGATTATCGAAGAGATTCTTACACCCGACGTGATAGAGGACGATATGATGATTACGGAAGAGATTCTAAAAGAGCGGCATATGACGGTGGTTCTTCTCGCCAAGAGTGTAATCTTTTTATGCGAGTAATTAACTAAACTAATTTTTAACTTCAAATTCTAATATGGTTCACCAATGATTGAATAGATGATGGAGGTGGCAGACATCGTTACGGTCTTGGAAGCGAGGAGCGCAGGTCACATCATGGTTCGCATTACGGACCAGGTGATTCGCGTGGTACTGGACATGAAGAATTTAAGGTTCCTAATGCCGTTGTTGGCTTAGTAATCGGTCGTGGTGGTGAGAATTTGAAGAGGATTGAAAAAACGACTGGTGCACGAATTCAATTTTCACAAGGTAATTATTAATTAAATTTTTTTTTAAAAAAAAGTAAAAGATTAAGAATTATTATTTATTATAATGATTCAGACCAGCCTCCGGATGTTGTTGAAAGACGCGTTACTATTACCGGTCAACCTGATGACGTTAAAACCGCTCGAGCAATGATTCAACAACTCGTCGAAGACGCAAGTAATGGGACTTTGACTAGTCGTCGAGATTCACATAGTAGTAGCGGTAATCGTTCGACCATTACGATTCATATTCCCGTTAATAAAGTTGGTGTCGTAATTGGACGCGGCGGGGAAACTATTAGGGACTTACAAGATAGAAGTGGCGCACGTATCAATGTTACCCCAGATAGTGCAGCTAGTCCACAATCTAATGATCGTCCTGTTACCTTAATTGGGGATGAAACAGCTGTACAACGAGCAAAAGCTCTTATTGATGAAATTGTTAATACTGGAGAATCGAGTTCTGATAGGGTTCGTAACCTCTTTTATCATTAATAATCGCATTTGTTTTTAAATTATTACTCGTTATTAACTTATTTTCCCAAATTTATAGAATCATCCCAAAGATTATCGTTCCAATAATTATGGAAATAATTATAACAATACCGACAATAATCACCATGGAAACGGTTACAATGGTGGTCATTATGGATCTAATCATGGACAATATAATCATCATTCAGGTAAGTCCAGTCAAGATAGTATAACCATCCAAGTTCCGAACGATTCTGTCGGTTTAATCATCGGAAAAGGTACGTTGCAATTTTTCTTGTCAATGATTTACACATTTATTACTCGTTTTTGAAATATTAATGATTTTTGTTGTTTAAACCTTTTGATTTCAGGTGGTGAAACTGTTCGAGCGCTTCAACAACAATCGGGCGCAAAAATTCAGATCGAGCCTGTTCATGGAGTTCCACCAGTAGATCGTAACGTACAAATTATCGGTAAGTCCAAAAATATATAAATATTGTCTACTTGTAAATGATAACTTCTTGTCCCCCAAAATGCTGTAAATTCAATATCAGTCGTTCGATGTGTTTTGCGTTCATGTTGACGTCGCTTGCTGTAGGTACTGCTGAAAATATCGCTATCGCGAAATCATTGATTCTTGAAAAAGCTGCATCCGGAAATGTACTATCGTTTTTGCCATCGCTTGTTGAGTGTGATTGCTATCGTTTTTTTTTTCCTTCTAGTTTTGGATATTAAAGGCCCCATGGTCATGATTCGTATTTGATTATTGATCAACTGTGATATATTCTTTTTTTTTTCTTTTCTGTGGGGTTTATCACTTTGTGTCGGAATTAATTTTTTCTACAGCGTGAAAGACAATCTCGTCATAATAACGATCAAGGAAGAAAGTAAGTGAGAAGCGTTAATATAGCAATGATGGTTATCTTTCGAATAATAAGAAATTATTCTTTCTTTTAGCGATTACGGATCAAGCGGATATCAACAAAGTGGATATCAGCAGAGCGGATACCAGCAAAGTGGATATCAGCAAAGTGGTTACCAACAAGGCAATTATCAACAGAGTAGCTATCCGCAAAGTAGCTACTCACCAAGTAGCGGGTACCAACAAGTTGGAGTTAGCAGCGCTAATGTCACTAGCAATAATGCTAGTTATCAGCAGACCGGATATCCGACCAACACCTATAGCACCAATACTCCGCAACAACAACAACAACAACAACAACAACAAACTGCTTATGGGCAAAGTACATCGAATGATTATGGTCAAAGTACTGCGAGTGGTTATCCTAGCGCCAATACTTATGGAGTAGCAGGACAGCAACCACAAACGGCTTATAGTCAATATAATCAATATGGTACTGCTCAAACTGCAACGCCATACAATCAATATCCAACGCAGACACAATACGGAGCTTATGGTCAAACCACACAGTATAGTCAATCCACCACTGGACAACCCGTTGGGCAACCTACTATTCAACCCGTGATTCAACCCGTGATACAGGCTGTTAATAATCAACCTACAGGTCAACCAAGTGTTCAACCACAAGGTACGTATTATTCGTATGATTCTTGATTTTTTTATATCATTTCAAATTTAAATAATTTTTTTATCAATTATACCTTTTTATTAGTCGGATATTACTCAACTCAAACGACTACAATGGATCCAAACAAAATTGGATCGGGAAATGAAATTAAGACAGATGTTCAAGCAGTATCCGCCACACCGAATTACGCTTATCAGCAATATGGATATAATTATGGAACGCCAACTTCTAATCAATATCCAACTGTTGCTACCGGACAAATTCAAACTGCCACCGTTAGCCAAGCTGCTGGTGGGTATCCACTTTTAGGTGCTACCGCGACCGCGTACGGTACCCCCACAGCAATCAATACCGGTACGACTTCTAATTCTGCAACGCCTGGAAGTGATCAAACTAATCTTCAAACAGCATATTCCGGATATTACGGTCAACAACAATATTCTCAGGATCAATATAATCAACAACAAAATTATTATCAACAATATTTTCAACAACAACAACAACAGCAGCAACAACAACCACCTGCTGCCTATAATTATCAAACGACGCCTGCTAATCTTCCTACGGAGGCTCCAAAGCAGTAAAGTTACTTTTCATTCCGTTTTTTTGGTAAAAAAAAAACATTTACCTCTAATGCGATTTCTTTTGTTGTTTAAACATATTAGTTTGTGATATATCCGTTGCATATACTTTTGTTGTAACGTTCTTCACTCGCAAGATTAATTAATGTATAACGATCTCGTGCGATTTTTTTTTTTTTTTGACATATTGGGACATTTTAAATAGATTGTATTGACATGAGCTTTCCTTTTTTCTTCTTTTTTTTTTTTTTTTTTTTTTTTGAATTATAGTAGTTTATTATTATTATTATTATTATTATTATTATCATTATTATTATTATTGTTTGTTTTTTTTGGTGTTCTTTTCAAATATCGTGGTTATTTTATGAAATTATCACAATTCATGTACATAGCGGCAGTAAATTATCAAATTATCTGTTCGAAAAACTTGATTTCAATATGTACAACTGATTTGATGATTTTCGTTGTAACCTAATGCTTGAAAAATATGGTCTAATAATAGCAATCCTACCTGGTTAAAATGCTAATAATGAAATTCTAAACAGGAATGTTTATAAATTACTATTTATTACTATTAATAGGCTAGTAAAAGAAATCATATGCTAACTTAATAATTGCTTCAGATATAGTTATAATAAACATAAATTATCTATAACTGCGTGTTCTTCTATCATTTCTGTATATTAATCTTTTGACAAATTTTTGACTATATGCTAAATTACATTTCTAATCGAAGATTCCAAAAAATTGTGTAAATATTTAAAATTTTATTATAAATTTTCAATACTCCAAAAAAAAAATCACTTTTTCATTAATTTATAACATCATTACATAATACAATTAAATGAATCAGTGATTATTTTATTTTAAAAATCTATTATTTACATTTTATAGATTTATCTTTATATAAGTTAATAAATTAATTTAATATAAATTTGTTATTTAAATTACAATTTTTTTTAAAAAAAAGTAATTTTTCTTTTAATTCTTAAATAAAATTAATATTGAATTTGAATTTTTATTAAATACAAATTAAAAAAATCCTTAATATAATGCTTAATTAAATTTTTATTATTATATGGGTTGTGATTTAAGAAAATCAAATTCTGAAAAATTTTTGATTAAAATTAATATCTTATTACATTTAGTAATGTAATAAAAATTAATATACAATTAAAATCTCAATTTTAATAAAACATTCTCAGAACTTGATTTTTTTAGATCACAACCCATATTATTTAAAAAAATTATATTTAAGATATATTTATTACAAATTCTTAATTTTAATTATAAATTTATTTTATTATTAATAATTTAAGCAAATACAATATAAAACATTATAATTTTAGAAGTTAAAATGAAAGTTAAATTATATAAAATTTCTAGTATCAATTCTAATTGGATATTTAAATATACAGTATATAAAGATGTTAAATAATTTGAAAATTATTTATAATAAAAAAGTTTAATTACTTATTTATAATAAATAAACCCTGTTATTATAAATAAATAATTTTTTAAAAGAAAATGAATTTTAAAATAAATAAATTTTATGAAATTAAACAGATAATTTTAGGATTGTTAAATTAAAACTTAAAATTTTAAAATCTGATTTTAAATTCAAAAATTAAAATTCTGATTCTTATATAATATCAGTAAAATAAGAGTCTTCTATAGAAATGACAAATTTATTGAAACTTTTAAGATTATTCATGAATTGCTTAATATCTTTAAAAAGATTGATAATCAAAACAATTATAATTCCATAATGTTATATATTATAAAATAATAAAACACTTAATATAAAAATGCTATTTATAATAAAAAAAAAAATATGTAAAAATTATACTTTGAATTCATAAAAGTTATTATAAATACTAACTTTTACTTTGTTATATATAAAAATGAAGCTGTAATTAATTTAAAAAATTTTTAACTAGTTGCAATTTGAGTTATAACTTTTTGAGTTGCAACTATTTATAAATTCTTATATTGAAATAAATTTAGTTATATATGATTGTGATATAATATATTTTGATGTAATACAGTGAATTCTTGATATAACGAATTCTAGGATCTGGATATCAACTTCGTTATAAGCTTATAACGAATTTTTTAAAGAATTTAATTGGCTAGTTCACTATAGTAAGGGTAATTTTAATATATTTGATTTAAAAATTCGCTATATCAAGGGTTCGCTATATCAAGGTTTGACTGTATATTGTAAATAGATCTACAAAGTAATCTGCAAAATCAATCTACAAAAGGGATTTGTAGAATTGATCAATAGAATGATTTGCAAGATTGATCTACAAATTGATTTACATATATTACATGATATTCTTGACATTGTTGATATAGTTGACATTAATAATATTATCAACATTGTTGACATAATTAACATAATAGATATAATTTGTTTATTTAATTATTGTTGTATATAATTGAAAAGATATAAATAAAGTAGTTTTTAGAACTTGTAGAAAGATAGAATTCAACTCAGCTATATACAATAATTTTCTTAAAAACATCTGAAATAGCTGTATGCTCTTTTGTCTTAATGAAATCCTCTTTTCTTATTTTGTTTACCTTATTTTTTTTATTTTTTATTTCCTTTTTCTTATTTATCAATAAACTATCTTATTGTTATTTTATACATTTGCGTAATCTTTATATTTCGTCTGAATGACATTATACATCTGTATGATTTTATAAATCTAGGTGATATTATAAACCTTTATGAGTTAAAGTGACATTTAAACCTTCATAACAATTACAGCTGTTGTGAATCTTTGTGATAAAATATAAATCTTAGTAAAATACAGTTTTAATATGTCTGAGTGATACTAGTTATATAAGTCTAAGACTTAGGAATAAATCAGTAGATTACTACGTACATTAAAAAAATAACACTTGAATACCTTATTTAACTGTAGCAATTCACCAAAATCGCACGTTAACATTTGTTGATGACGACAAGACTCTCTTCTCCTAATTGCGTAATAATACCCTATAAGAATACTACATAAATACATTTGAGAACTTATTTGAAATCCAGTAAAAACATTATTCACAATATTTAACAAAAGAACAAAACAACCAACTAAGAACCACCTTTGTAAATAATATATTGTGTATTATTTGTTATTCTTCATCTGTTCCATCAGAGCAAACTCTTGCCTTTTGTGTCTTTATTAAGTAGGTTCGTCTTATACTTAAAGCTCGACAATATACCAGCAAGACTATAACTGAGTTCAATTCAGCTAATAATTTATTAACTCCAAAATTACAAATACTTTATTATTAATGTGTATTATACTCTTTTATATACAATAAGCTACCTTCTTACATCTTTGACCAAGCCATCAATTTAACATTACAAATGCATCATCAGACTGCAGTATTTAACAAGGATCCCAGAAGCACTATTTCTGAATACTTTGAAACTTCTATATCAAGCGCACCTCCTTTACCTTCACCAGTTAGTATTAGAAAACCACTATGGGTAAATCAAAAGGATCGGTTACCGAAACCATTTCTACCTTATCGACTTTTAGACCAAAAGCCCTTCAGAACCATTGGATGCAAATAAAGATAATTGTCTTTTTTATAAAGATAATGATAAAGTAATGATAGAGATGACGATAGAGACTATTATTATCATGCAAGTTACTCCTAGTGGAAATAGAAAAATAGGTTTTAACAAATCTACTTATTCTTATGAAAACTTTGGGAAATACAGAAGCTAAACTAACCAATCTTCTTCTAAAACTGGATAAACTAATCCACCTCCTTCTGAAATAGGACAAACTGAACAACCTCCTTCTGGAACAGAACAAACTAATCAACCTCCTTCTAGTACGAAACAATCTAATAAATCTGTGTTTAGAACTGAACAATCTGATCGAACTACTTCTGAAGTGAAAAATAAAGGGTCAACATCTAGTCAAAAGAATTCCAATAAATTTTGCTCATTTAAATCAGTATCAATTCTATCTCAAAGTCAACCTGAAAAAAAAAAATCTAGACAAAAAGAGGAGAAGCCATCATTTTCTTCATATTATGATAGTTCTTCTTCATCTTCTAGCTCTAAATTAGAGCATGATAGTTCTAACGTTAATGAATCTGAAAATAATCTCTTTAATGAAAATAATGCAACCAGTCAAAGTCAACATGACCTTTTCTGAATGATGAAATGACTCACAAATATTTTTAAAAATGTTGGATTTGGTGGATAACGTAAAAGCAAATTTGTAAATCTTTCTTCCTTTAAAGGTGAAGATTAGAATTTTTAGGATTGGCTTGATAGATATAATAATACATATGAAGCGAATAGTATTTCTGACTGAAAACATTTGACTCTTGTACTATCCTTTCTTAAAAGATCTGCATTCACTTGATACAATAAAGCTAAATATGAAAAAGATATTTTCTATTAGGATAATAATGAGGATTGACAAAGGAAACATCATTTCTTTATATACTAATTTGTTAAATATTATAATAATACTTATTGGTAAACCCAATAAAAATCAGTTCTCTGACGTTGCAAACAAAGACCAGAACAATCTGTCAGAAAATTGAACAGTTCCTTCAAGAATTATGTTCTGAGTTTCAAACTGCTATTGTCGTTACATTACTATATGATATAGAAGAAGCTATTGATTGTGCTCGATCTATTGAAGCAGTCTTATCAAAAATTATTACATTATCAGAATATTCTTTGAGTAAAGCATATTTAAATCAAAGTATTGAAACTGTAGAAGAGAATTCAATCAATATACAACAACCAATTGAAAAGAATAATGAGAAAATACTCAAAAAATTTAAGCAATTATTGATCGGAATTAATAGCACTCCTCAAAATAATAATAGTGAATATAATAAAAATAATAGCAGTTATAATAATAATAGCAGTTACAATAATTATAACAATCAACCTGCAATTAATAACAACTGGTGAAATAATAATTTGACTAATAATTGGCAAAATAATAATATAAGTAGCAATAAGTCTACCATAAAAGCTTGTTATAACTGTGAATGTAGTAAACATTTAGCAAGAGATTGTAGGTAATTATGAACTAATCCAAATAGCATACAGAATAATACTAGTACTGAATATTATAATTGCAAGTAACCTAAACATATAGCACGAAACTGTAGAACGCAATCAAGAGGACCATGCCTATATTGTAACTAAGTTAGATATTAGGCAAAACTTTATCTAACTAGAGCACCTATTAATAAACAATGAACAGCTCTTTCGTAATTTACACCAGTGATTCCTTTTACCTATGCATCTTTTATCACTACCATCAATACTTTCAAGTAGTCAATCACCAGTAATTTCTTCACAACTGCATTTAAACTACTAACGATGTCTCCTGAGGGTAAGCACACCAGTTATTATTTAAACCTCTCAATAACTTCAGAAGTTGTAAAAGCTATTTATTATTATGCTGCTGTAGATAGAAAACCTATTTATTTAATATTAGATTCAGGATCTACTAGAAGTGTTAAATTCAATTTATTTCTATAATAATTAGGATGAAAATTGAATCTGCATCAATGATTAATATCCAG